AACAAAGTATTTAATAAGAATATTTCATTCATTCAGATCTAGGATGTCTTATTTTTGTGTTCCCTTTATTTTTTTGAGCAGTGTATGTGTGTGTGTGTTTTTTTTTTCTTAAGTTTTCGCGGGTTCTTACATGTATGGTATTCAGCTTTGTTCAGGTATAAATAAATAAAATTGACCTGGAAAACCAAGGCATATATGAAGTCCCTGTGCATCATGCCCTGCCACATACATTGGACAGACCAATAGAAGAATAAGTACCCGCCTGGATGAACACGAAAATGCAGTAAAAAAGCTGGAACACACTTCCTCACTAGTCCAACACATGAAAGCCACATGTCATAGCATCAACTTAAATGGCACCAAAACCCTAGCCACTATAGAAAACCCCAGCCACAGAATTATCAGAGAAGCCATAGAGATTGAAAAAAGACCTGAAAGCATGAATAGAAGAGATGATTCCACCAGACTGTCAATTATTTGGAAGCCTGCACTCACAAATAAAAAAATCACCACACCACAAGCCAGGCAAACACCTGGGCACAAACAGATCCCCCCGATACCTCCAGCTCAAACTCACCCCAACCAGGCACCCAGATGAAACCTGGCTTCCTCATAAATGATAGCCGTCCATTTACTCGGAACCAAGCTGCACTAAAAGCCCCCAATACAGGAACACAATGTTGCCAGCCAATCAAGACAAAAAAAGCCACAAAACAGACAGAAGATATTAGAAACACCAATCAAGCAGAACACAGCAAACTCCAAGACCAATAAACACAGACCAAGACTCCCAACCAATCAGGATGAAGAAAAAACCATTCTGGCACAGCAGTAGGCTAGCCCCAAATTTAAAACTGAAATAACTGTAAAAGTCTGACTCACAGACGAACACAATACAGAAGCCTGATGATGGCAGATGAGATTCTGCCGAAACGTTGCTACAACTTTAAAAGCACAACTGCATCTGCAACCATCCCCTCCCCACCGCCATTGCTACTGCCAGTCCATGGAGCCAGAAAGGTTGGGGATTGTTGCTGTAATCCAGAGGTCTCCAAACTTGGCAACTTTAAGACTTGTGGACTTCAACTCCCAAAATTCTCCAGCCAGCTGCAATCTATGTCTAAAGGACTATTAGGGAACATAAATTCTTTTCTTAAGAATACTGGTATTTTGAGAAAGTAAGAATAGGAACTATATTTTTCTTTTCTTTTGAAGAAATCAACATATATCTCTTCTCATATTTCTGCCTGCTTCTCCTGCCATTTTTTAAAATCTGCAATTATGATGCAAATTATATTTTGGAGTAAAGATCAGTCGGGTTGCTAGATATCTAGTTCACCAACAGCATGTGTCTTATAAATGGCTATATTTTTTAAAAAAATGTATCTTAAATTTAATTGTGTTGAACACAGTTCAGTCTTGAGTACATTGTTCTGATAAAATTATTACCTTTTATAAATAATTGTATTTGAATAATTATACATAATATATTCAATCAACAAATAAAAGTGTGTAAGGCTAGTTATTATTTTTAATTTCATACAAATAAATTTTATTTGCTGTAAGATATAAATAAGAAAATTTTGATACTTTCTGAATGGAGTTCAACAACTTTCAAATAACAGTAATACACAATTTTTGTGACAATCTATTTTTAAAAATCATTGTTTTACAAATCATAGACATGCAGTGATGGAATTATTCTACATGCAATGAAATGCAAATATAGCACAAAAACAACAATAACAAAAAATGGACCTAAAAAATTGAAGCTGAAATCCACATTTACTTATTTGTCTCTTCACTGAGGTAGGAAAGCAGACCCAGACTGGTATTAATTTAATAAATTATCTGAAAATAGGGACAATATGATAAATACCTTGACATTTACCAGTAATTATGACCAAGGAAAATATGTTTATTTGTACCCAATCTCTTAACTAAACTGCAAAGAATTGTCTTTATAGTAAATAGCATCATTCTGATTGTATTTGAAAAAAACAAGATAATATCAGAAGTAAATGCTGATAAATTATTTTACTTTTTGAGACATTTCAGGACTAAATCTGTACCTTTTTAGTATTAACCTTTAGGAGTGTAATCCTACAATTCTTACTTTATGAATTGTTTATATTTTGTATTTCAAATTGAACAATTTTGTGGTGTTCTAAATGCTAAAACTTATATTCTGACACAAGCTTTTATCACTATATTAATGTGACAGTGCACCAAAGCCATTATCAGTATAATATGACTAGTCGTAAGGTTCATATATTTTTTTGATTTTGTTGCAGATTTGTAGTATGGATAAAATTTAAATTTAAATAAATGTTTCATGATTAAAATATATAATTCTAGTATTTATTGTGTGTCTGCCAATTCTACTGCAGAGTGTATTTTTATTTAAATACAAGAAAACATTCATTTTAAAAAAAGTATTTCTTAAGTAATCTACTATAATGTTTTATAACTGTATTGGTTTCATTGGACTAATCATTGTTCTCATTGGACTAGTCAACTTCACTGATAGGGGTCCTACTATTACTGTATATTGAACTAATATAATTATTAGGTATAATAAATAGTTAAATCTATTTTAATACATATGTACAGATTTTTGTGCATGCAAATGTACTTTTGACAGTAAGCTTGTAGCTATTAAATATAAGATTGGAGTGTGCTCTTACCTTTATCTATAATAGCCTGCCATTGGTGTACATGTTTCTGATACGCTAGCCTGACGCTGAAGACTTGACATTGCCAATCCCTGAACGCAGGCAGTCCAGGACTACAAGAGGGATTCTTACATATTTTATATTGTATTCTTGATCCCTGGCATTCTGCTTCTTCATGACCTGGACTAGGAAAGATAAAAAATTAAAATTATTAAACTAAATTCAGTTGTATGGACATGGCTTGCTTGATTTACACTGTTATTAGTGCCATCACATTTGTATCTGAGAGCTTAAGGAGGGGATGTGGTTTCACATCACCTAATTTTATCCATAGAACAGCTTCAGTTCAAAATCACACACTGGGATGCATAATCCCAGTTCAATATATAAGCACCATACCTACTTACAAACAATTAAAATAACAGTGATTACCTAGGGGGCGTGCATAAGCACACCAACGTGCCTACCGTCCCTGTCCTATTGTTTCTCTTATTCTTCTTTTATTTTTCTTATATGTACCCATTTCATGTATTCATAACTATGTATACACTTATACTTATTATCTTGTAAACAATTGGCAAATCAAATAAATAAAAAAATAAAATAAATAAATATGTAGAGCCTGCCTATAAATGAAGAGAATCTAATAGTTGGAACAGTTTCGTAACAGCAACAAAAAACACACAAAAAAATCACTATGAATATTATGATACCAAACTATAATTAGGCTACATCATGACAATTATTTGATTTTCCCTTCCTCAGCCTTCTCTAATCTTGTGGTTTTTCTGACAGATTGGGGGCCATTATGATCAGATGTTCTAAAAGGTGTACCCCAAATATTTGAAGAAAAAAAACAGGAAAGGCTGGGATAGATTATCCTTATTTTATGTGAATTTTTCCCCATACTTCCAATGTGCATAAAGTTGAATAATGAGCCATATAATGTTACTTATTCTACCATTTATTTAAAAATCAGAAATACATTCCAAACACTGCTTACTTAGTTTTCCTTTCTTAAATTGTATATAAAGAAATATATATGCCTGTCTCAGCACTTGAAATATTTGTGTTTACTGGCAATCTACAATTTTATGTAATAGCATGAATCTAGTTGCGTAATATCATTTTCACATTGTGAAGTAGTAAACAGAGCATCTGTCCGTAACTAATTTGGAATTTGGAATTTAGTAAATAATATAACAAGCAGAACACAAATAAGCTGTGGCTTACCTAACACATTTACGTTGTCGACTGCTAATTCCAGTGCTACAAGTTCTGCTACAAGAGCTCCAGGTACTCCATTCTGCTTCCATGTGTTCAGCGAAAGATGTTTTACTGATACATTCTCCAACTTTACACCACTATTACAAACATCAGCTTTTAATTTAAAATATATGAAGTACATACAAAGTAACTTACTATATAAACTCAAAAGGAAGCTCATATCTGACACAATGGCAAAGCAAAGAGGAATAAAAGTATAATTCCACCTCCATTAGTCTATTCTTGGTAAACTTAAGAAAACTTATTTTTTAAAAAGGCAAATTATTTGCTGAAGCGAAAAAATAAGTCTTCCCTATTGCTTCCCTATTGCTCTTATCTATTCAAACAAATTTTCTTGAAAGGTGCAAAATCAAGGGGATAATTATTTCTAATTAGATTCAATATTTGCATAACAGAAAAATGTTAAGTTTTTACATTACGGCTTCTCTACTCAGGGGAAAAAATAGAATGAAAGATACATGTTTACTACTTAATTAGCTCTGCCCTCTTAAACCACACTTATTGCTAAATGGATAATTTAGTTTACGCTGGTCCACATTTTGTCTTTTTACCTTTGTACCAATGATTAAGGCAGAAAATGCCTGAAACTATAGAGTTAAATTTTGGAAATGAAGCTCCCAAATCATGTCTTTATTTAAAACTGTATTTTAAAACTAGAATATTTCGGAAGGGGTTGCATGAAAGAATCAATACATTACATAATTTTCATATAATCTAGCCTGCCTATATAAAAATTTGAATCTGTAATCCACATAATACATTGCATAAGGCAACATAGCTGCAATCAAAAGTATATATACACAAAGATCATAGCACATCATGAATCACATACAAAAAGAAGCTGGTTCAACTTTCCATAATGTCTCAAATAACAAGAAATAATGTCCACATAAAAGGAAGGCCAATTTATTTTGGCTTCTGAAGAGAAAAATCCTGAAAGCTTTCTGCCTGCTTTGATATCTTATGATAATCATTTGAAGCTTCTGCTATAAAATTTAGAAATTTGGAAGCAACCATATTATCCATGGAACTTACGAAATAGAATTGCATTTATATAGTTACTTTTAGCCATCTCAATTATTGAATTCTCTTAGTCTCCCTTTTAGATTAAGATAGATGAATCTCATCTATTCTAGCAAAGAAAAGCATTCAGATAAAATAGGAAATTTTACTGTCAATTGTTTCAAATTTGACTTCCATATCTTCCTGCCTGCCCTTTTATTTTCAGTGACACTGTTTCTAGTTTCCCTATCCTATATCTTCATCCCCACTATTTTATGGGTGTACATGATCAAAAAGCATTTCTAGGTTCATCAAAAAGAAGATTCTTTGTTAAAAGGTTTATTTTTATGTTGTTTTACTTCATTAAATAAGCCAGGTTACTAATTTTCCTGGGATAAGCTGTAGTTTTGATACATACACTTGAGAATCACTAACTATTATACATTTTTACAGACTTTATATTAATTCCACACAAGTCCAAAATCCATTAGACAGAAACCTAATGAAGTTTTGGCCAAGAATGCTATGAATTAGTTACAATAATCTAGAATTAAGGTTTTCCTTGTTCTTGGTTGATTGTATGAGACTTTCGTTGATTTAAATAGTTATGGATTTCATTTAATGAAATAACTTATTTATTTTACTCAGTTGTATTCCCCTTCTGAAAATAAGGGGTCTCAACCCTTATTATTATTGATAGGTCACAAGTTTCGTTGGAATTGAAAATGACATGCCAGTTTGACTTTAAATCAGTATGGTACTATTATTCTAAATTATTTGAAATTGCTCTCCACAATAAGCAAGCAATAATACTTGGAAGTTAATCATAGGTAAAAAAAACACTAAAAATAGGATACTTCATTACTTGTACTTACAATTCTAGTATGCATTTTCTACAAAGACTAGGTACCTTCAATTAAACAATAGCAACTCCTGATGAAATATCCTTTGTATATTAATGGAGGTATAATATTTAAACCAATTAGATAGTACTTTAAAATAATCACATCTTAAAATGGTGCAATGAAATATAGATTTAAGATCACATATAAACAAATTCACTTATTAAAAATTAATGGTGTTATAATGCACCTTTCCAGTGTCGCAATCTGTTCCATCCATCGGTGGATCCAACTTAGTTTTACATTCTTTCTCACCTTCAACTTTACACCATAACCCAGCGCAAATAACATGCTGGAAAGAAATAAACAATAAAAATGTAGAAACATGCACATAAATGTTCTTCATAACTTTCACAAGAAATATGCTATTTTAAGAAGCTGTGAATGAATTTTGCTTTATCTCTAGAATATAATCTCTTTTCATAACCTCAAAACAGAAACACTGTATGTAAATTGGACTGCAAAATAAAAATGGGTTTGTTTGTTTAGCTTACATAAATATAAACTTGGGATTGTCTTTTCATTCCTTCTTCAATTTGCTTTGTGAAAGCAATTAATTATCCAATATAAAGTTTTGGCTTTAGGCAGTTTAATGGACTGTAATGTATCTCTTGAAAACAATTTTTGTCTGTACATTCCCTGGAGAAAAATCCGATTGAAATTATATTTAATGCATAACTTCAAAAGTGAACATACATAAACAAACATAAACATGTGAGATTAAATCATTACAATTACAGAAATACTAAATTTAAAGAATAATAAAAGACTAGAATGACAGTGATCCCATATTATTCTTCACATAGTCTGTTAAGTAAAACAGGTCCCCCCCCCCCGCTTCATGTCTAACTTGACTCCTGGCAACTACATAGACAAATCCGTGCAATTATTCAGGCAGTAGTTTTGGAAATGGTTAGTCATTACCTTTATCCTAGGATTGAGAGAGAATAACTGGCCCAAAGTTACCCAGGTCTCTTTCAAGCCTAAGGCAGGATTAGAACTCTGCTTTTCCAATTCCTAGTCCAGCACCTAAACCACTAGGCCAAACTAGTTTGCTAAAATACATAAAAATGAATTCAAATACGCATATTCCAATTTCAGAGAAGAGTTCATATTAAATCAGTTCAATAATAGTAATGAATCCAAATTAATAAGTTATTTCATATTTCTAATTTGTATTATAAACTGATATAAGAAAAATAGAATATAACAGTACATTTAAAAATTAATTAAGCCAACTATTTCCTTATAATCATGACCCGTATGTGTATCTGTTAATATTTATATTTTAATACATAAATCATTAGTAGCAATAGTATTGGGGAGGGTGTTCAACTCGCCTGTCTGAAAAGAAATGACATCACCACGTGAACCCCCACCTTTCTTACATATATCATAAGACTACAAGATCCCAAAGGGGTGAACCTTGATGACAATGGGTGGAATTGCAGACTCCTTATAGTAGTATATTAAAACTTCAAATCATGATTACATTCTGATAGTAAAATTTCAAATTCTATGGTTGAAATGAAGGTGATTTGAGAGGTACATATTATTTTTTGTATCCATGGTCAGATGTGCAGGAAAGTCAGGCCTGGCAAACAAACAAGTAAAATTTCTCTACTGGCCAAAGAAAGAAAAGAAGAACACCACTAGCCTTGTAAAATGAAAAGAAGAAAGAGGCAGTGGAAAGTAGGAAAGAAGAAAAATAAAACAATCTTTCTACTCACCAATAAAACTTATAAAAGTGTAAAAGGGAAATGTGGCCAGATTTTAGCAGAATGAGGTTCTAAAATTATATCATCCTAGATGTGATTGTTAATAAATATTATTTTTCAAACCATTATTTTGGTGAATAAAGAATGGCTGCCAAAATAAAATAGCTATTTAATAGCTATTACTCAATATTTTAAAATTTTACTTAATGTAATTATGTTTAAATTGAAATAATTTATTAAATAACTTTTTTAAATAAAGTTTTATTTGGGTTTTCACACATACAAAGTACAAGTAAAACATCTTTTTTGAAAATAGCATGGTCCCGGGTTGAACTTCTTTATACAGACACAAAACTCAATTTCATGCTCCTTTTTGTGTTCTATTCCATACCTTATACTATTCTACATTTTCTATATAGTTTTTCCCCTCTTTTAATTTTCTCAATTTTATTTTGATTATCTCATCTCAATTCAAATCATTATATTTATACTTTTGTCTGTTCTGTTTCAATTTCATATTATCTTTTCTCATTAAACAAGTTTTCTCCTGTAGTTACTAATTGGAGTATGACACCTTTTGTATCTTTTAATTACATCAATTCAACTCTTATTTAAACTTCAATATATACCTTAAGGTTATGACCTTCAATATAATACATAATACATAACTTCGAATTCTGCTTGGTACATTCTTATAATACACACTATATTCTTTTTTTAAAAAGGATTATAAATATATGTAATTATGAACCCTCATTCCATTCCAATTCAGTTCTATCATTAATAATCATTAAAATCTTAACATCTTTAACATTTCTTTTCAATTAAATATCATACTTCCTTAAAGACACGTATAATCTCCATAATTAATTTTCCCTTATTTCTCTTCACATATGTTTTGTAAATCATTAAATATTCATTTTATTACATTTATTTATTTACAAGCATTCCACTGAATTACAATAGCTATTTTATCAAACATTTTAATCATACATTGTTGCATATTTTCTGAAATTATTTCTAATATAACAATACTATCTTATGTACCTTTGCAGAATCCCTTTTTCCATTAAACTTTCACCCATTATCTCTAAATAGGCCCTGTTTCTCTATATTTTGTTTCTGTCCTTTATAATTTTTTTTCCTTTCTTTCTTCCCTCTCATCTTCTCCCTCCCCTTTTTACCCCCTTGTCTCTCTGCTTCTAATTCTCTCTTCTGCATTTCCCTCTTCTGTTGCTTTCTGATTTTATACTTATTTTTCACTCTATTTTTTGGGGGGGTTGTTTTTCCCAATCTTAAACTTTCCATTCTCTTTCCTCCCTTTCCTTCCCCCCCCCACCTAAGATTACTTGTTCATTAAAGATGGCTTCTTCTTTGTCACAATCTTCTTGTTCTGCAGGCATTTCTTGTTGTTTCTCATAATTCCAAATCTCCATTTCTAAGAACTGAAATACGAAGCCAAAAGAACCTCTCCCTTCTTGTGCATCTTCTTTGTATTTTTTAAGTTCCATTTTTCAGTTCTTCTAAAAGTGGAGCCATTTTAAACAGTTTTAAACAACCAGCTGATTGATTTTAGTCATTCAAATACAACAACCAAAAATCCAGAGATCATCAAGTAATCCAAATAGCTGTTTCTTCTTATTTCTTTTTCCACTTTCTCTTCCTGGGGTTTTTGTTGCGATGTTTCAGTTAAAATGTATCTTTTGGAAGTCTTGTTGAGATTTTGCTGTAAGTTCTTTTTAATTCCAGACAGTCTCCTCCCTTCCAGATCCTGCCCTTTTATTCTTTTTCTCTCCTTTCCTGTTTTCAAAAGATTTTGATTATCCAGAAATCTTTATTATCCCTTTGACTTTTTATTTTCAGCATTAAATGCCTATTAATGTCAAAGTGGATTTTTTTTCCAATTTCTTGCTTAAGTCTCTTAGCTGTCAGTATAGGAAAAGGAGAAAAAAAAAACCAAATCTTTTCCCTTTTCTCTCTCCTTTGCAGCTTAAAAATCTTCTTAGGGAACAATGTTATTGTTTTTTTTAATAGTTTCAATTCCACCTTATTTTTTTAATAGTTTCAATTCCACCTTATTTGTTGCTTTTGCTGTTTGACCCGGTCAACCAAAACTTTCTCTTCTTATCTTCCTCCTGCACATTCTTTTCCGGTTGAGTTCTTCTTTGTGGTGGCCATTTCTGACCACCGCTACAACCGCCTTCGGGAAAGGGAGTAATGGCCAGCTGGGAGGAGAGATGCAGCTCTCCTCAACCCTACAGGCAGTCTCCCCCTTCTTCACCACCTCTACGGGGTAGCTTAGCCCCAGAACCAGCCGAATTGGGATGCTCCAGCGGTGAGCACAGATCGAAACCTCGCAGAGACGAGGCTTCGGTCTGTTGCCAAAGAAGCTCAAACCGGAAGTCCAATAATTTATTAAATTAATTAATTAATAAAACAATTCTTTTTTATAAAAAATAAAATGCTCCCTATTTTTACCATTTTAAAATTCATTTTAATGCATGAAAAGGTCTCACTGTGATAGCCTTCAAACTAATAAATTAGTCTTCATGCAACATTCCTGATTGAGTTGGAAACATTTAGCTTATAGCCCACTATTTAACCTTTTGACTGGCATAATTAAGATAAAATTAAGATTAAAGGTATTAATATATTTTCTTCCTTCCATTTTATTCAAAGTCCTATCTAAAAGCAAAAAATATCCCCAATAACAAGCATTTTAATTCAGTAAGGCAACCCTGTTTTCCAAGGACAATATTACTTGAATGTGCAAGAGAAATGCAAACTCTATTCTATCTTGTGAATGAAAGCTTGGTAACACCTGAAGTTTTATACTGTTGCATGACCATTATAAGGGTTTGATTTGATTTGATATCTATCATTTAAATATTGAAAAATCAAACACAGAATGGTAACAGTATGTAGAAGCTTTGGATAGTTAATAAAGGAAACATTCAGAATTGTTCTATATTTCTTTATTCCTTTAATCCTTCGTGATTATTATTTCTTCAATGTTATTATTTTACTACAAAATACAGAGAAGCAAAACAGCAAGCTGTAAACCTGGGTATATTGTTAAATCATAAATGACAGTAATCTATTATTCCTACCTGCATTTCTTGGCAGAAAGAGGCAGTTGGTCCAAAAAGAATCTGACATTGTTCATCTGCAGTGTATGTTATCCCAGGGAGTTTTGAAGGAATAATCACAGAATTGAGGCTCTGGGGATTTGTATGAAGCAAGCAGTTACTGGCCTTTGACCTGGCAATGCATAAGAGATTGGTGAATAATAACAGAGACTATTTTATACTAATCTTTATGTAGAATTAAGATGAAAGCTTTGCCCTAATTTAACAAAGAACATTTTTATATTAATGAAAAAGAGGAAAACATGACATATGTCCACAAATGTGAGGCAGCTTTCAGTAGAAAAGCCACTTTAAAGAGTTGTACTTGGAGGAGGTCCATGTGTCCCCATTCAAACCCCCTCCCCCCAGAATTCACTGAAAATAAAAATTAGCTGAAATATTGGCAGGGAACTCATTATTCAAGATCATTACACAGGAAAATGATGAGGAAAGAACACAAGTCCAAATATGTCTAGGGAACAAACTCATGTAATGTCACTTTGAATATCTTTGAATACTGCTGAACCTCAATCTAAAGTTAACACAAGAAGCAGCCCATCTTGCTTTAAAAAGTATAACCAAAAGATTCCATAATTTCCCATTTTAAATTAAACAGCTATTAAACTCAAAGAAGAACTGAACAGACTAAAGATAAAATATATAGAATTCATCTGGGCACAAACATGAATCCAGTTTCTAATTATTTTTGTATAGAATCCCTATACTATTTATACTATCAGATAATTCAAAATCCTGTCACAAAAATACATTAACCCTAATACTGCAAGAATAAATGTGCATTGCAATATTTTTAAAAAAATAAAAATACAGGTAATCCTTACTTAATAACCATTTGTTCAGCAGACATATTAAGTTACATGGCACTAAACAAATGGTACCTATATCTCCAAAGTTATGATCACAGCAGTGCCCCTGCTGTCACATGATCAAGATTTGAGCTCTTGACAATGACCCACATTTATAAATGCAGCATGTGCTTCAACTACTACCACTGCCTATTTCCCCATTTTGGCTACCTCCTGCCACCACTTACTCCGGGCTGTCTACAGCTAACTTTTGCTTTCTTCTTCCTTCCGCTATTGACCTGAGATACAGCCATTATTAGACAATGTATGAGCCTAGCAAACCTTATCTGCCAAAGGGAGCTTTCTGAGCCTGGAAGAAGAAGAACTGAGCCAATGGAAGAGGTAGGGCAATAACACAAATGGTTGCTCCCAGAATAAAGGTGATTACTGCTCGTGCTGTACAAAGACTGGCCAAGCCACCACCTCCTGGAAAGCTGCCACTTGCACTGCTGTCCTGTCACTTTAAACAATTCCATCCCACTGCCTCCTCCCTGGCCAGGCCTAATAAGCTCCCTTTGGCAGTTAAAGTGCCTGAAACTTGTGCCAGCAGCCAGTGATGGTATTCAGCCGGTTCGCACCAGTTCGGGTGAACCGGTAGCAAGGATTTGGAGTGAGTCGCCAAACCAGTAGTAAGTTCTGGCTGGCCACACCCCCAACCCGGTCACTCAATTGCCACTGGCTCACTTGCCCCACCTAACTGATGTTCATTCACCCCGCCCACCTGATGCTCACCCCTTAAGGTATTTCTTTTTTTCCCCTCCCGACAATCAGCTGTTCATACAATCAGCTGTGCCAGATTTCCCCTAGCTGTCTTACTGATTCACCCAGAAAGATTCCCTGAGACCCAGGAAGGCAAAAAATGGAGGGAGGGGTGCAGCCCCCCCTCTCCATTTTTTTGTTTTCCTGGGCCTCAGGGGAGCCTTCTGGGAGCAAAAATGCCCCACCAGGAGACTCCCCTGAGGCCCCAAAGGCCTCAAAATGGAGCAAGGGGGCTGCTGTGCGCCCCCTCCAGGTTTCATTTTTTTCTTCCTGAACCCCAGGGGAGCCTTCTGGAAGCAAAAATGCCCCTCAGGAGACTCCCCTGGGATCCAGAAAGCCCCAAAATGGAGCAAGGGGGTGCTGCACACCCCCTCTAGGCTCCTTTTTTTTTTCTTCCTGAGCCCCAGGGGAGCCTTCTAGGAGCAAAAACTTGGAGGCTTGCCTGAGGCCCAGAAGGCTCAAAAAACAGGGGGGGGGCTGCAAAACAGCAAAAAAGCCACACCCACACAGTCACATGGCCACGCCCACTGGTATTAAAAAGTTTTGAATCCCACTACTGAAGAAGATGGAAGAGATCAGTTGAGGGTTAGGTTAGGTTTGGGCAGAGTTCTGGTTGGCCCAGAGGGTAGAGATAGTGGGCATACAAGTAGGTATACAAGTAGGCATGCAGTTAGAATCACTGTATAGTCCAGTGTTGGCAAACCTTTTTGGCATCAAGTGCCGAAACAGGATGCATGTACACATGCCGGAAACTGGAAGAGCAGTCATTGGGGTCAAGAGGCTGGCAGCAGTTGCTCTTCTGGTTTCAGGTGCTCTCATGCACGTGAAGACCAGCTGGCCGGCACACTGGAACCCAGAAGAGCAATGGGTGACAGCTCTGCATGCCCAGAGAGATGGTTCTGCATGCCACTTCCAGCACACGTGCCACAATCTAGGACATTCATCTTACTTAGTAACATTGAATGTTATTAAATAATTAAATTCAGTGTCCATCTAACTAAAAGCAATTCTACTTTGTTTAAAATTATATATATATATACACACACACACACACACAAACACATATGCATATATACGTGCGTGTATGTGTGTGTGTGTGTGTGTGTGTGTGTATGTTTTCTGAGGTTCTCGCGGGTATTTGTATGTGGATCTTTGGTTATTCGGGATTTCTCCCGCGTAAGATTGGAAGTATCCAATTCTTCCAATCTTACGCGGGAGAAAACCCAAATAACCAAAGATAGATAGATAGATAGATAGATAGATAGATAGATAGATAGATAGATAGATAGATAGATATTCTTAAGTTTTCGCGGGTACTTACATGTATGGCATTCAGCTTTGTTCGGGTATTTTCCCACGTCATAGTAGTTGTGCTTTTAAAGTTGTAGCGACGTTTCAGCAGAATCTCATCTGCCATCATCAGGCTTCTGTATAGTGTTCATCTGTGAGTCAGGCTTTTACAGTGGTTTCAGATTTGAATTTGGGGCAGCCTATTGCTGTGCCAGAATGGTTTTTTCTTCATCCTGACTGGTTGAGAGTCTTGGTCTGTGTTTATTGGTCTTGGAGTTTGCTGTGTTCTGCTTGATTGGTGTTTCTAATATCTTCTGTCTGTTTTTTGGCTCTTTTTGTATCTTGATTGGCTGGCAACATTGTGTTACTTTATTGGAGGCCTTTAGTGCAGCTTGGCTCCGGGTAAATGGACGGCTATCATTAGTTAGGAAGCTAGGTTTCATCTGGGTGCCTGGTTGGGGTGTGTTTGAGCTGGAGGTATCAGGGGGGATCTGTTTGTGCCCAGGTGTTTGCCTGGCTTGTGGTGTGGAGATTTTTTTGTTTGTGAGTGCAGGCTTCCAAATGATTGACAGTCTGGTGGAATCATCTCTTCTGTTCATGCTTTCTGGTCTTTTTTCAATCTCTATGGCTTCTCTGATGATTCTGTGGCTGGGGTTTTCTATAGTGGTAGAGTTTTGGTGCCATTGAAGTTGATGCTATGACCTGTGGCTTCCATGTGTTGGACTAATGAGGAAGTGTGTTCCAGCTTTTTGACTGCATTTTTGTGTTCATCCAGGCGGGTACTTATTCTTCTATTGGTCTGTCCAATGTATGTGGCCGGGCATGATGCACAGGGGACTTCGTATATGCCTTGGTTTTCCAGATCGATTTTATCTTTGGGGTTTCTGAGGATGGCTGCTATTTTTCTGTCTGTTTTGAAGGCAGTCTTGATGTGGTGTCTGTGTAGTATCTTACTAATTTTGTCTGTAGTGCCTCTTATGTAGGGCAGGACAGCTGTTCCATAGATCTGTTCATCTTCTGGGTCTCTATTATGTCTCAGTGTGTTTTTGTGGATCAAGCCGGTGATTTTGCTTTTGTGGAAGCCGTTGGCTGTCAGTACTTTGGTCAGGGTGCATAGTTCAGTCTTAATGTGTGTCTTGTCTGCCAGGCGTTTGGTTCTAGTAATTAGTGTTTTAGCCACGGAGTTTATCTGTGCTGGGTGGTGGTGGGATTGGGCGTTGAGGTAGCGGTTGGTGTGTGTTTTCTTCTGGTATATGGTGTGTCCTAGTGTGCCATCTGTTTTTTTGTAGATTAGTACATCTAGGAATGGTAGTTGTTTGTTTGTTTCCGTTTCCATGGTGAACTTGATTTTGGGGTGTGTGCTATTTAGGTGTGTTAGGAAGTTGTTTAGGTTTTCTTTTCCATGGCGCCAAATCACGAATGTGTCATCGATGTATCTTAACCATAGTTTGGGTTTGTGGATGGCATTGGCCAGGGCTCTGGATTCGAATTCTTCCATGAACAGGTTTGCAATGACAGGTGACAGTGGTGATCCCATAGGGGCTCCTTCAATTTGTTTGTATCTTTGTCCTTTGTATATGAAATATGTGTTGGTTAAGCAGTGTTCTGTTAGTTCCATGAGGTGTTTGGCTGGTTGGTATTTATTTTTGATGATTTCCAGGGTCTCTTTTATCGGGACTTGAGTGAATAGTGAAACCACGTCGAAGCTTACAAGCAGATCTTCCTGCTCCACATGTAGATCTTTGATCAATTCCAAGAAGTGGTATGAGTTTTGTACATGTGAAGCTGCTGTTTCAG